GTGCGCGCGGACGCGCTCGTCGCTCGCGCGCTGGACGTGGGCTTTGACGGCCTCCACGGGCTCGTTGGCCTTGATGGCCTCGGAGGCGCTGAGCTGGGCGTCGTAGGCGTTGGCCTCCGCGTGGGCCGCGTCCTCGCGGAGCGACGACCCCGGGAGCCGTTCCGCCTGCGATTTCGCGTCTAAAATGGAGTCGCGGCGGTCGTCGGTCGTGCCCGCGAAGCTGCCGCTGGCGTGCATGTCGCGGTCCGCGGCGTCGCGGTGCTCGCCCTTGACGAAGGTGAGCTTGACCCGGCGGTCCGCGGAGCTTTTGATCGCAGCTTTGACGACGTTCGCGCCGGCCTCGTCGACGTCGTAGATGAGCTGGTCGTTGATGGCGATGAGCTCGTCGGAGGGCTTGAGCTTGTTGTAGAGGTCGCAGGCCGGGGACGTCGCGTCGACCTGGATGAAGCGCCGGCCGGACTCGCCGTAGCGCGCGACGCAGATCGTGAATCCTAGAGACCGGTCCGTGGGGAAGCTGTGGCAGAAGACGGCCTTCTCCTTCGCCATGTCCTTGAAGTGCTCCCGGAGCTCCTGGCGCGCGGCGAGCGTGCGGCCCGTCGGCGACGCGGCCGACGCCGTCCCGGCCTCGCTGCGGAAGAGGTTGTCGGCCTTCGGGGCGGCCGGCTTGGGCGCCTTGAGGTCGTTGTCGGGCTTCGTCGTCGACCCGCGGCGCAGGACGCGCTTCCCGATCTTGTGCGTCGCGCGCGAGAGGAGCGACCTCCGCTTCCCCCCGGGCGGGTCCATGGACTTGTCCATGGCCAACAGGCAGCCCGAGAATCGGCTGCCCCAAAAATCTGCTTGCACCAACATTGCCGTGCTCTTAACCTCTCGAGTCGAGTCGAGCCGCGATGCTGCCCCCGCGGGGGGTCACGCCGCACCCCGGGGCCGTCGAGGAGTCGAAGAGCCCCGGCGACGGCGACGGCGGGCCCGTCGTCCCGCCGGAGTCGACGCGGAGCTTCGTCGTGCGGCGCCGGCGCAACGCGGCCCAGACGCGCCTCAAGCTCTTCATCGCCGCCGTCGTGCTGCTCTGCGTCGGCGGCGCGCTGCCGTTCCTCCTCAAGGAGACAGCCTTCCGGGGCGTGTCCGTCGTCGCCGTGAGCGAGCTGAGCGCCTGCGCCGTGAGCCTGCTCTGCTGCGGCGTCGTGCTCCGCACCTACGCGGACGGCCCCGGCGCGTACCGGCGCCACCCGAACCGCCTCATCGTGCTCAAGACGGCCTGCGACGGCGGCCTGAACGTCGTCGTGCTCTGCGTCGTCGTCTGGCTCGCGGCCGTGCGCTGCAACGGCGCGAGGCTCGAGCGCCACGAGACGCGGAAGCAGGAGTGCTTCGCGAAGGGCTACCTCAGCGCGTGCGACGGCGGCGCGTGGATCCCCGCGTGGAACTCAAATCTTCGACCCGACTTCAGTGTGCGCGTCATCGAACGGAGTGCGCCGGACTCGTCGGCCGTGCTTCGAGAACTCGACGAGAGCCATCGATTCGTCCACAAATCAGCCGAATCGACGTCGATGTGATCGAGATCGAGAAGTTTTTGCTGGACGGGGCGTTCCAGTGGTTGATGTCCACACAGGTGGATCCCCTTCTTCACGCAGCTCTTCTCCACGTCGTCCGAGGCCTGGTTCTTCGTGCTGTTGCTGGACCTGCGGCGGTCCGTGCGGAACCCCTTCTAC